CTATGTTGTTTTTTTTTTAACAGATTCAGCCACACACACACACACACACTTTGAAATCGATGTTAAACATGATTGTAAATAAAGATTCGAAAAACGTAATTTATTGTTACCAAGAGTGTTAATTTTATTGTCTGTTCTTGATTCTCAATCTACGTAAGAAAAAATACTGTGTATATCTATCTATCTATCTTCCTACCTATTTATCTAAAAAAAAGGAAAGAGGGAGAAAGTTTAACGTCTGAAGTTGTGACCGTATAATATCAGAGCATACTTGCAGCCTCTCCGACCTCCCCGATCGAAAGCGGCCAAGAAATCTTCGTTCAGAGTCATGGACATCGGCGCCACTCTCGTCACCGGTCTGTCTCTCGCCATCCGAAGTATCTCCTCCGTCGCCATGTTCGGATAAGTCTGTCTCACCACCCGCTCGTAATCCTTGAACACGGCGACCTGGATTGCCACCGAGATAGATTCGTCCGTGTCCGGCACCAACGTGTTCGCTACGATGGCGTTCAGGTTGCTCCCGCTTCGATTTTCGCCGGCCAGCGCGAAGCATTCGTGCAGGCTCTTGTACACGTCGCCGAGAACGGCCTGCGTGTAGATGCCCGATTCCATCTTGTACCTGTAGCTGACGTTCTTGACGAAGGGAAGGTTGTGGGTTCGGAGAAACGTCGCGAAATTCTCGATGGCTTCTATCGGTCTCGTGGACCCTCTGTAAGCGAACCGAACGACGTTGCCGCGTTCCCAATGCTTGACGATCAGCTCCATCACCGGTTCGGCGAGGGCCAGGTCGACGGGAACGTTGCGACGAACGTACGCCAGATCTTCGACCTTAGGATTGGTGGGCAACGCGTTCCAGTGGAACGTGTGCCTCTCCATCACGGGCTCGTACTCTCCTTCTCGAAGGTGCCGGACGCTGTCGAAATTTTTCCTCAGCTCCTCGACGACTTTCTCCCGTCTCTTCATCGATTCCGATCTCAGCAACATGACGATATTCGGCAGCGGTGTTCACGACTACGACTACGAAGAAAAACTCGCTAAGGGGTTCAGGGTTTGTCCTTTGCCAGAATGCATATATATGTCTATCTTACGTTACGTCATGCGTCATTTTTTCACGAGAAAGCAATGGGCATTAAAGGAAGATTCGCGGACATCGTTGACAGGGAGACAAGCACCGGTCGGTCGTTCGCCGAAAACGTCCGAAACGTCGAGATCATAATGATCGACGCTTCTCAGACTTTTCATCGTATAGCTTCGCGCCCTATCGGAACGAAGGTCGAAGATCACTTCCCGAACGTCGAGGCGTGCTTGGAACGGTCGGTCGTCGTCGGCGACGTCGAGAAACGGAGCTGGAGGGAAGGACACGACGGAATAGTGAACAGTTACCGACGGTTCAGTCTGGACGACGTGGCGCACACCTTCATGGAGGACGCCCTGGGGTACGCGGACGACGTGGTGGCGATGCAGAAGAGATCGGAAGAGCGAAGCGCCGTGAAGGCCGTGCTGCTCTTCGTGGACGGGAAATTTCCGTTCGCGAAACTCGCCGAACTCAAGCGGAGGAGAGATCACAGGAACGGGAGCTTCCGAAACGGTCTCCGAAAACTCGGTCACCTGAACGACGATGCCCTCAGGACGGCCGTCGACAAGAGGAACA